AGCAGGAACCCTAAACCTGGGAGTCCCGCAACATCTGAGAACCTCATTTACATGCTGGTAAAGATCCCATTGTCATGCACAGTAGCTCTGGAATAAATTTTCTTGAGGAAGTTCTTTAAAAGGAGAACTTAGAGCTTAAAAAGTCTCATTTTCCCCTTTGGCTGTTCTCCATCTTCCGCCCAGCCCGCTTGGCAGTCAGCGGGGTGAGAGGTGGCCCTTTTGGCAACACAGAGCCCGTTCCTTTCCCTCAGCTGTAGTGGCTTTCCGAGGACGTGGAGCGAGGCTCCCCCGGCCCCGATGACCCACTGCCCAGCGCTTTGCCTGGCAGCTTGTCCTGCTGCCCCGGACGGAGCCACAGTTTGGGTGGTGGGGATGGGCACTGCTGCCTGTAGCCGTGTTACGTGCTCAAAGTGCTCAGACTTGGCACTTGTCGGCTGGATGTCACGCTAGGCGGCTGTGCTGGCCGGCTGCTGTGGTATTTAATTTGTAATGAAATAATGGTTAAGTTTAAAACAAAGGCATCGCTTTTCGCATTGAATATTCTCCTCTTACCTGAAAACAGAGCTCCTTTTGACCCAAAATATTTTTAATTGCCTTAAGGTCCTGATTTGTTTCCTTTTTAAACTGCCTGCTTAAATGTGCCTCAGTGCCTCTTTTAAATTGGGCCGTCACCAGCAGCTCAACCTCTTCCAACACCCAAAAATTTCAGGTTGCGAGCGCAGCTCTGAAAACAAATAACTGCTGAAAATCTACCCGCTCCCTGATTCCACAGGGCAAAGCATGGTGATGGGGTGGAGGGGTGAGGAAGAAGCCTCATATATTATTTTTTTTAACCCATCCTACCTGCCTACTACAAACGGCCTATTTTCTGCCCCTAATGGTTTCTGCCTAACAAATGGTGTTTCTTTTTTACAGCGTTATGATCCTGGACTTGTTGTGGTGATGGTAAACTTAGCAGTGGTAATTTTTTATTTTCAGACTGAATTACTCCTTTTGTCATCAGTGCACCAATATGTTAGGCTTACTTTCTCTGTTGTAGCCATCATCCTTCTGCTTGGTCTTTCATTTTCCTTTCCTTTCCTTTCTTTATGCACACTTGTCTGATCCTTGTTCATTAAAGGGTATTGCTAAGAAGGGATGTTTCTGTTTGTGTTAGAACTGCCAAAATCAGTGTAAACATAAATTTCTAATACTGTCCAAACTTGATTTTTCCCCAACACGATGGGCACTAGCACTTGCTACTGCAATTTCCAAATAGATTTTGAAAAAAACAAACCCAAAACTTTGACTGCCTTAGAAGGCAAAAGTACTGATGCATTGTTTGTACGCAGGGGTTTACCAGGGCAATGAGGCTGCATCGAAAGATCTTGATTGCTGGAGAAACAAACAAATTTAAAAAAAAAAAAAAACCCAAACCAAAACAAAAAGAAAAAAGCTTGGAAAAAAAATAAATTGTTGGCACTTGCTGCCAGCCATTCCATTTGGGTTCACCACTTACCAGTAAATCCCTGGCTGAGACGTTATGAAAGTGATATTGCACTTAGGAAGTCATTTTTATAACCTGTCTTTAATTTGGTCCTTTTGCTAAAAATTGCAGTCACTGCTTACTTTATTATACCATTGGGCGTAAGAGAAACATTTTCAAACGGAGAACGCTTAAAATACCCAAATGAAAGCTGAGTTCAAAGTATTATTTTGGATCAGCATGATAACTATTTTTGGACTTGGTGGATATATGCCTGTCAAATTTATGGGCGTATAAACAAAACCATAAAGCGATTAATTAAATGGACTTGTTTCTGAAAGAAAAACACATGCCTCTGTACTTTAAGAGTTAAAAAGACACAAGTCTGACCAGAGTAGGTTCCCTTTGGGGACTCTGTGGAGCCCGAGATCTGTGGACTGTCGCTTTTCTAGGAGTTAGAGAAAGCTGATATTGGAGAAGAGAGAAGTTGATGCCTATACAGGTTTTCTGAGGCGGTTTTAAAGACTTTAACCTTTTGCGCATGTGGATGGCAATGGAATATTTTTGGCTTGATTAAAACCTGTAGATCTTTTAGCCCAAAGGTATAATATATGTGTATGTGTGTATAACAAAACAGTTGTTTACACCAAAACAAGAGCAATAATAAGGGAAGTAAACATTCTGTTTTTTCACTCAAGGTATGCACCGGATAAGGTAAGTACTTTTTCAGTGGGCTTACATCACAACGAACAGCGCGAGTTGTGATGTAAAAAGAATAATAATAATTAAAAAAAAAAAAAGCTGTGGTAGTAAAGTGCTTGTCTGCCCCATTTTGCTTCGTTTGGCTGGTTATGAGTGGATTAAAGATATGTTAAAAAAAAAAAAAATCTCCAGCATAGTTTGATTAGTTCAAAGTCAATTTTCTTCGCAACTAGTCCTTTTCACAGCTTACAGATGACACAGCGAGTGCTAGAGCATCTCTCCGCAGGAGCTGGGGAAGCAGGTGCTTGACCACCTGGCCTGGACCGGGCGGTTGTTTTGGACGAAAGAAGTTTGGCTTCTGTGCCATGCTTCTCGGTCAGCTTTCCTTACTCTTGGGAAGGGACAAAAGTTGGCGGGAGGGAGGCTTCCACATCTTTTAAAGGAAAGTCCTAATCAATTCTTAATGTGGTAGAGCAGTAAAATGTATTTAATGGCTTTTTAACTTGCATCAGATGAGGAGAATGTATTGCCTGATGTGGAAGCATTGAGGAGAAGGATCATTTCTCAGGTCCTGTTAACAGCCCTGCCCTAGGACTTGTCATGGTTGAACATTAACCACGGGTATGTTTTATGTGACCAGTTAATGTTCAGGAAATACCATTCATCAGTACTCGGGGTGCATTTAACTGTAACCAGTTTGGAACTGAGAAGCAGGTTTGGCTGTAAGCTGTGAGAATGGCTTGTGTTTGGTTCACTGTAGCTTTCTGGTCTCTGCACTCCAAGGCAAGATCTCTAACCACCCAAACCCAATGTGTAAAGCAAGCTGTGGCGACAGACCGGCCGCTGACCGCCTCTGTGTGTGTTCCTCTTACAGGGAGGACAGATCCCATCCCTATCGTCGTCAAGTACGATGTCATGGGCATGGGGCGGATGGAAATGGAGGTAAGCTCGCAAGGCTCTGGCTCCTGCCCTGCACCCTCTCACCCCTTGCATGGCTCTCAGGGAGTTGATAGGGAAGAAATTTAAAAGTGAGAATTTGTGCATCAAAGGTAAAGAAAAACTTGCTCTTAAACCAACACAGTAAGAAAACACTTCTCAAAATACATACTCTGTTTACCCATGGGTACCTGAGTTCTGAGGTCTGGATACTATCTGAAATTCCTGGGCTTTGTGATTTCACTTCTGCAAAGCTGAGGCTGCTGCTGGCAGTGGATGGGCCTGCCGGGAGCCTCCATCTCGGAAGGATTAATGAACTGTTTTGCGTGTGGGTTACACTGTGGGATGACAAAAGAGGGAAAGTGAAGCACAGTATGCAAAGATTCTGTTTCAAACCTCATCTTTTTAAAATTACACATTCTGGTAGTCTCAGTAGTGCAAAGTATTCACGGGACAAATTCAAATTGTATCTCTCCCCCCCCCCCTTTTTTTTTTTTAAAAAAAAGCTCGACTACGCTGAAGATGCCACTGAGCGGAGGCGTGTACTGGAGGTGGAGAAAGAAGACACCGAGGAGCTGAGGCAGAAATACAAGGTACTGAAACAGGGGCATTAACATCAAAGTTCCTGTGGGTTGAATGGGAGAGGATTTGTTCTGATAGGACAGAGCTCTTCTCGTTAGGCTGTGGTAATGGTAGTAGGAATTAAGTATTCTTGTTTTTTGTCATTGTTGAGATTATTTATATTTTAACGAACTGGTTATTCACTTCCTGGAATTAACCTTGATGTTTGTTTAGCTGCTTAAGAGCTACAGAATAGCACCAGAGCTTTCCTCTGTGTGCTTTGCTCCTGTTCTGGAAAGAACAGTCCTAGGGTAGAGCAGAACATTTCCTTCCCTAGACCCAGGGCTGCCAAATTTTTCTAGTGAACCTGCCACATTGTCAGCGCAAAATCTGCAGATGCAAATGTTAGATGGGCAGTTGTCAGCTGGAAGTGGAGTAGATCTTCTGTTGTTACTGAGCAAGCAGTAAGTAGTGCATTATGATACTGTTGCATAAATCCTGCTTTCTTTGAAAAGGTAGGACGTGGCTCCAGTTTTGAGAAATCGATGGGCTGTATCTCTTTGGAAGAATTTCTGAGGCAGCATTAAAAAAATTATATATATTCTGTATTCCCATAGGGTTTACAAAACCTGTGGGGTGTTTTGTAAGCCAAAGACTGTTATCTTTTAATGATAAAAATGGGCCATCGTATTGGCATTGATCTTGACATGCTGGAGCATACTGGATTAGCTGTAACTGAGTTCTCTGTGGAGACATGGTCTTTGCTAGTCCGTTAATCCACTCTTCACTTACCAGCCTGTAAAGCACATCAAGTCTTAGGAAAGCCCGCTTGTTTAATTGTCCTGAGATTTGAGAAGTACCAGGGTTGAAGAGCCCTAGACATTAGAGTAAAGTGCCAGTTTTGCATAAATTTTAATTCTTTGAGGAACGATCACAGAATCATAGAATGGTTTGGGTTGGAAGGGACCTCTAAAGGTCATCTAGTCCAACCCCCTGCCGTGGGCAGGGACATCTTCAACTAGATCAGGTTGCTCAGAGCCCAAGGTCCAACCTGACCTTGAATGTTTCCAGGGATGGGGCATCCACCACCTCTCTGGGTAACCTGTGCCAGTGATTCACCACCCTCAGTGTAAAAAATTTCTTCCTTGTTTCTAGTCTAAATCTACCCCTCTTCAGTTTAAAGCCATTCCCCCTTGTCCTGTTGCAACAGGCCCTGCTAAAAAGTCTCTCCCCATCTTTTCTATAAGCTCCCTTTAAGTACTGACAGGCTGCAATAAGGTCTCCCCGGAGCCTTCTCTTCTCCAGGCTGAACAACCCCAACTCTCTCAGCCTTTCTTCATAGCAGAGCTGTTCCATCCCCCTGATCATTTTCGTGGCCTCCTCTGGACCCGCTCCAACAGGTCTGTGTCTTTCTTACGCTGAGGGCTCCAGAGCTGGACGCAGTGCTCCAGGGGGGGTCTCACCAGAGCAGAGCAGAGGGGCAGAATCCCCTCCCTCGCCCTGCTGGCCACGCTGCTTTGGATGCAGCCCAGGATACGATTGGCCTTCTGGGCTGCGAGCGCACATTGCTGGCTCCTGTCTGGCTTTTCATCCACCAGTACCCCCAAGTCCTTCTCGGCAGGGCTGCTCTCAATCCCTTCATCCCCCAGCCACTATTGGTATCGGGGGTTGCCCCAACCCAGGTGGTGATAATGGAAAAGTAGTTTCAGTTCCATTAAAATTAAACATAACCATGGCAAATGTAAGATTCCATTTCACCGCTTCAACAGTTAATACTGGAGGCAGTTTATTCAGCTACAAAAATATATAGCCTCCTTTCCTGATTTTTTTTTTTTTCCCCTTAAGTTGAGACTTTGACTTGCTTGGCAAGTGAATTGCTGGTATATTTGTTCATTTAAAAATAAAAGCCATTGTAATTACTTTTAAAGCTAATTACTAGTTTGGAGCTGCACGCAGTTAATGATCTCTTCTGGCACACTTTAAAGTAGAAGTGTGCTCTTAAATGGGCTTCCGCAGCCGGTGCTGAACAGTTCCTCTGCGTCCAGGTGCATGTTCTCTTGAAGATGTTTTTCCTTTTTGTTGTTTTTAATCTCCTGCTGGGCGGCATGCTGCTCACACGCTACAAAGGGGGGGTTTGGCCGTGACGTTGGCCATTCTCGGGCAGCATGTGGCTGAAAGCCTGGATCCCTTTCTGCAGCAAGCCCCCAGCTGCGATGCTGGGCATCTTCAGACAGCAGCTGTTGAGCACAAAGTATTTCTTCGTTTCAGAGTGGTTGGTAGGAGCTCTTGTGTGAATTGCATGTAATGATGTTTTGTCTCAGGTCTGCAGTGCGATTTATGGTAAAGTTCTTGGGTTTTGCAATTGTCTTTTCAAATGCAGTGGAACGTGCGTTGCTTTCAGACTGTTTTGTCTTCCTGCCATTATTCAGTACAGACTTTTTTTTTTTCTCCAGGAACTCTGTGGAGCAGTAGCAGTATCTCCCAACTCAGATGTTTTTTTATTAGCATGCTTTATCCTTAGGCTCTTGCATTTCTTTATTAATCTGTGAAAATCTCTGCAAGCATAATTTTTTTCATTGCTCCGCAGGAGTCCATTATGTAATTGCCAACTGTGGCCGCATCCTGATTAGCCATTCAGTGAGTCTCAAAGGAATTTCAGATAACTGCAACCAAGAAGCAAGCAAGAAATGTTCTTTAATTCCCTTCTTTTGTATAGATTCTGATCACTCAAATGGCTGTGTTTTCATTGTTTAGCCACGGGATGCTTTCTGAAAAAAAAAAAAAAACCCTACACACGGCGCAGGAAGGTTGTTCAGGGTTTCAGAGGAACCTTAAATGTCATTGTTCTGTGGATCTCATGCTGCTCTGTTTTCCTTTCTTGTCTTCCTGGGGACCTGCGTCAGGCTCAAAGCTCTAGATAGTTTTGTTGATTTTTTTTTCTTTTTTTTTTCCCCCTTCTTAACAAGGGCCTGTGGTAATAGGTAGAAGCAGGAACTTGAAATAGATTTTTTTTTTTAATGTAGAAGGTAAACAGTGCTTTAAATTGAGGGAAAAAAAAACCCTTTTAGCAGCAGAATTTTTCAGATTCCCCCCCAGGTGTTGGAATTTTTTACATGAATTTTGCATTATAGAAAACATGCTCAGCAATATTATTTTAATGTAATTTTGATGTGGTAACTGGGAGATAAACCATATTGCCTTGAACAAGATCTTAAATAAAAAGAAAAAAGCTTTCGTAGTATATCTTTTTTTTAAATGTTTGCTAGCTCCTCTTGCTAATGGAAGGAAATTTCCCATAAGAAGTTTATATTGAAGACAGAAACTCTTAAACTCTTAAGAGTTTTTTCTCAAATGTTAGGCTATTTTTCTTATATAATTTATTTTTATTCCAGTTGAAATGCATATGGTAAATAGCTATATGGGGTATGCTGATATTAGTACAGCGTACTTTGTAATACAGCATTTGTAGCTTTTTTTTTAGTATGCGTCAGCGTAAGTGCTTCCATCTTGTTGAAGTAAACCTTCCCCAGCTTGCTTGTAAAGAGTGGCGATGTTTTATTAATTTTGCTGGTGGGATTGTAACTGAAACGACCTGGCTAGAGGAAGAAGTTGCTTAGCCCCGAGATGAGTGTGTGTCTTGGCATCAGATGTGTTTCAGAGCCCCCTCGGGTGCTGAGCCCCCCCAGGTCTGCATCGGCTGCGGCGAGCCACACAGGCTCGCCTCCCGTCAAGCCATTACAGCCACTTGAGGGACTGGGATTTCCATGGAGTCCCAGAGCTTTTTGCCACTGCCAATCCAAAAGCTGCTACTTTTCCTTATAGCAAAAGAGGGGAGGACATGACCGCTGCCAATTTAGACACCTCGCCTTTGCTTGGAGGTTTGGTTTTGCACCTATACAAATGTTGAATTACATAAGAAAAAAATAGTCTGCAACCTCTAAGGTGATCTCCCTCCCCCTCTTTTATTAAATGGCAACTCCCTGTACCCATGCCCAGTGTAATCACTGTGTTTGAGCTCAGCTTAATGGACAGCACCGCTCCTGGGAAGATTTCACTAACTGAAAAAATTACACTGAAGTGAAATAGGCTCAACGGTTTCTGAACTGTGCTTTCCCAGCCGCGGATCTGTGTTCCTCCCTATTGAATTGCAGACAAACTGCGATCAAGCAGGCATCTGTTAGCACTCAAAATGGAGGAAGTATCAGCATTTAAAGTTCCAAGATTCTGTTCCAAAAGCAGTGATCTTCCTCGGTTTGATGCGTATTTTGCGCATCTTACACGAGCAGGCAGCTGCCAGTTTGTTTATGTGTTAGCTTGAGGCTTTGAACCTCTCTTTTTTATCTCAGACAATCCGGCAGGCTCTCCTCTTGCAGCCGCAACTGCCTTCCTGCCATCAGCACTAGATTTTTTTTTTTTAAAGCAGTCTCTTTTTACTGATACCTGTGCTAATGACAAGATTATGTTCTATGTTAGGAAACTGGGTCAAGGCTAGGTTGGTAGTATTGCAAAGTTATCCTTCGTACCTTTTAATTTGCAAAGACTGGTCAGCTTAATAAGTATAATCATCGGTGTACACTAAGGTTTTCTTAGGGACTATTTTCCCCTAAAGGACTAGTTCATCATCTTCCAGTTTGTTTTACAGGAAGTTTAACAGAAGCATTTTTTGTTAATTTTGCAGGATTATGTTGACAAAGAAAAGGCAATTGCCAAGGCTTTGGAAGACCTCAGAGCAAACTTCTACTGTGAACTCTGTGACAAGCAGTATCAAAAGCATCAAGAGTTTGACAACCACATAAACTCTTACGATCATGCTCACAAGCAGGTAAACAAGTGTTGATAGCACAGTTCATCAAGTTTATATTCATTGCAGTGGTCTTGTTTGTGGTTAGTATTTTGAATTTCCCCAGGGATAGATGTTTTATGTCACTGGTTAAGATTCTTATGCTCACCATACATTTAAAAAAACCCCAAAACAACAAACAAAAAACCCAACTCACTGTTGGCATCAAGGAGCCCAGTTTTGAATGACCCACGGGCAGGAATGGGCTGCTGCTAGACTGGGAAGAGTACGGATGGATATGGGTGGCTCCTAGTTTGCATCAGCTTTTAACATAGTACAACTTTGGAGACTGATATGCCACGTGTGCGCATTTTAATACTTTAGTCTGCGTTCTGTCAAGTTACTGAAAACATACTAGGAAATAATGGGCTGTGTCAAAGGAATCGTAAAAAAGGAGCACTTTCCAAATTCTGTAACCCTCAGGAGAAGGTGGATTCAGAATCTCTGTGGAACTGGCTTTGGTCCCAAGATAGGGATGTACTGTAGTATCTACATGATACTTCATACTGCACAGTAAATAATAAAAATTCATGTGTTAGCCTGATCTATTTGACCATTTGAAGCTGCTAAATGAGATGTAAATGTACGGCAGATAGCAGTGTTGTGCTCATCTAGGGATGAAATTGCTCAAAGGAGGTTTTTTGATATTCCTAGCCATAAATTCTAACAACACAATCATTAAAATGCTGGTAACTTCTGCAGGATGTGCTGTAGAGTACTAGATCTTGCAAAATAGCAGTGAAGCAACAGCGTAAAAACAAGAATATGGCATTACAAAGTATGATTTTTTTTTTTGTGTATTAAGTATAGGATGTGGTAGTTCAAAGTAAATTCACTAAGGGAGTTTCAACAGGAAATCTCATGGCAGGGCAGTTTCTGTTTGAGTACTGTGGTGAATTGTGGTTTAATAGAGTTAAGAGCAGAAATTCATTCATTTACTTTGTATTGGGAAAATGGGCTGCTCTGACCGAGCTGGTGGCACAGTCATGATACCCGATAGCGGTGTACTTCATCTAAAGTTTTCTATCAACGTGGTTGAAACTTGAGTGCAATTCCATGCATCTGTGTTTAATCCAGGTGGAAGGACCTGTTTGTCACATTCTTACAGTGTGGTGATGCAGTATGATTATGTCAACTCCTGTTTAAAAGCCTTGGGCGATTAATAGGGGGACTGACATGAGGTTGGCAAGGCTGAGGGTTTTCCCAGCATCTAGAGATGCTGTGGAAGAAACAAACCTGTGGAAAGCAACCACCCCTCATTGGTATAAAAGGAGTCATCAGTAGGGGCGCAAGAAGAGGGACCTGAAAGAAAAATGTCTTGGGAACACACAGGGTGGCGTAATCTTCTCATCGGTAGAAAGAATTTGGGGGTTGCTTGGTACTGCTGATCATTTTTAAAGGAATTGATGGTCTTGGATAATTTGCATCCATTGCAGTAACTTCAGGCAGGCTTTGGAGAAAATGAGCCTTCAAACTCTCGCTACGTCACCCAGCATTAGTTTCTAGTTACACAGGGATTTAAACAAAGAAGCAATCATGCTTTGCTTAAGGAAAAAATTGCTTGTCCAGCTTTATGTCTTGCAGAAATGTGTGTCACCCTGTTGGGTCAGTGTTCAGTAAGTGAACTTGAAACTACCTAGAAATAATGAAGGTAAATTTGCATAAGTAACACTGTCTCACTTCTGTTGTTCATTACCACTCAAGATAGGCTTATTTCTAACAGTGTATTCTAAATGCTGAGGTAGTTATAAAAAAAAATAATGCTGTGCTTTTCATAATACATTGCACGTTGATGTTTCATATTTTGCCTCTTTGGACAAGAAGGCAAGGTTACATAAAGGGTAACAATTGTTTTGAGGAAAAACATAAAGTTTTCTTAAAAGTAGGCTAATCAGTAGGCTTTCTTGGAAAGATGAGACATTATGGTACCCTAGATAATTACAGCAAACTGGCTTGGTATATATTATCTGCAGTGTTCTGTCTTCTCAGCAGTAATTCTTGAGGCAACGGTGCTTCGTTTTTGCCTTTTTCTTAGCTTGTTGAGCAGATTTCCATGGGATCATTTTTGCTTTTAAGTATTTTTAGTTACACATACCCACGACATTGAAGCGTTTGCTTATTCCTTCTGTGGCTCAGTGAGCGTTAGGCTGTCCCTGTGAATAGATGTTCCATCCTCAGATCCCTTTCCGCTCCCGAGTTATAAAGACACTGTCTTGTATTCCAGGAAGGAACTCAGGATTATTGCGAAACAGGGACGATAGGTAAGTGTATTGATCCCTACCGGATAAATTTTGGACCCACCAACCTGTCAACACCAAACAATTAAAGGGGAGGTTTTATTGTTATTATTATTATCATTATTTCCTGACTACACTGGTTTCATAGAGCATTCGGATGTGTCTGAATTGACCTCAACACCAAGTTTCTATCCAAAAAGCAGTATTTCTAGATTACCTTAACTGGGAAAATAATCTTCAATTTATTATCACAAACCATTGGCCTGTTTAAGTCATTGTATTTTAAACATCTTGTTGGAGGTGTGCAATGTTGTTCTCTAGATTTTTTTTTTTTTAATTAGGTTGATACTTGAAATGAGAAGTACAGATGTTTCAAAGAACAGTAACCCTATCTGTTCACCAAATGGTCAGTCCCTCTCAGGGGAAGCCAGAGGACTAAAAGCAACTTGAGTTCATACAGATGGCACTGTAAGAGGAAAAATAAACTCAGTTCCCTTAAAGATCCTTCAGTGAGCAACTGAAAAAAGCTGTAACCATAGATGTCATAGTTTTTTGTTCCCTGGAAAGCTACTGATATCTTTAATGGGTTTTTTTTTAGCTGTAAGATCTTGAGCCTGGCAACTAGAAGGACTGGTAGCTTATGAAGGGCCCCCACCTCTGATGTTGCACAGTCCTGAATGTCAACAGAGTGATAATAATTAACAGACAAATGCAAAAGGAGGCAAATGTTGAAAGAAAACTACTTCTGCAGCTACCGAGGAACTTGGGTAGTGAAGATGGATCCAGTGTACTTTTGTGCTGCTTTCCTGCGGATACATGATGTGCAGATGCTTGAGAGCTCTCACAGTCCTAGAATACTCTGGACTTAGTGGGAAGGTATCCTTAGGGCATTACGTGCGAGTGGGCCCTTAATTCAGTTTTGGGTTTTGACATCAAGATAGAATACTTCATGTCAGATTTGCATGAAGATGAATGTGGGTCACCTTACCTGGGGTTGTGCCCAGTTTGTGTATTCGCATCAAATAAACCTAATCTGTATTGTATCACTTAGAGCAGCCTGCAAAAAGTGTTACAGTTGGAATTATCTTACATGTAAGTAATGTAGCATTTACAGTCAGCTTTTACTGTTTGGATTTTTTTTTTTCCCTCATCCAAGAACTTACAGAATCTCTTATATGGTCACCTCTTTCCTGCTAGCATGCCTGATGAAGGGTTGAGCTATTTACTGAGTCACTGACCCAACAGAATAAAAACATTCACCTTCTGAATTCAATGCGAAAACCAAACATGTTACTGTGTGAACTTTTGCCAGGTTAACTGTGAGAACACTAACTGGTATTGAAATGCAGTCTTTTATGTAGCGTTCATTTTATTTATTTCTAGATGTGTGGCGTTTTGGAGGTGTAGATGACTAATTCTGCATAGATTCTCTTTATAAAAGGACAAAGGGAATGTATTTCCATAAAGAAGTTCTTTGGGAAAGAGGGTGGAACTAAGAACTGAAACTATAGATCTGCAGTTATCTTCATGCCCTAATCATCTGGATCTTTGCTTCTGATGCCGAGGGGGAGGGATCTGTTAAAGTACAATAAAATTACCAACGCAGTCGCTGCTGTAGTTGATGAGTACTCTAAATCCAAACCCTGAACTTTCTGGTTTGGGGAGAATTGGACTTGTGCTTTCCAAAAACTTGTATCTTCAAGCACAGCTTGAACGTAGAAGACTGAAGAGAGAATCTTCAAGATGCTTGGTGTTACATGGGAGGCTTTTCTACTCTAGAAATGCTATACCCTCAAAGTACCCCACGGTATTTTTCTTAACCCAGTTTTAGCTGTTCAGCTGCTCATTTGCTGATGGCAAACACATTTGGAGACGAGCACCTATACATAGTGTTCAATAAAGTAAGTCTTCAGCGTGCAAGGCCTGGACACTGTGATTACAAGCGATGCTAGCCTCCTGAAGGGCAGACAGACTTGTGTTGTTGGGTTATCTGTATTGCATTAACGCGTGGTATATTTTCCTAAGTTGAAAACGAGGTGTCAGGGAAGAAATTAAGATGAAATAAAACTGCAGTTGCATGCCATTTCCCCTCTGCTCTTTTCACTTCATTTACGAGCGTGCAAAGAATGTTGATTACCAAAAATAAGCAGGGCTTGTGTTCTCACTTATGTAAAATTATAAAGGTTGCCATCCTTTGAGCTCATATTTAGCTAATGGTGTAGTTCACTCCCAGAAGCTTTTGTGGCAAAGAATCGAGCATATGTCAAAAGTTCAGAAAGCCAGAAATCTGCTGGCGTGTAATGAAAAGTACGTTATTTTATTTAATAGGGATTGGCAGAGAGACTTGAGAACAGTAGCAGGGGAGGAGTAGGCCCTAATGGGATTGTGCTGTTACATGAGCTGCCTCCTGTCTCAAGCCAACGCAGAATCTCACTGTACGTGGATCCAGTCTCCCTCTCTCCTGAACGTGTGTGTTGTGAAAGTCTTAGGTCTTCAGGTCTAGTAAAGCAGTGTAGCGGAGTGCCTTGTTTTTTTTATTCTGAGAGTAACATGATCTCTTTCTGCTCTGCAATTTTAGGCAAAGAATGCCTCTTGAATGGGCCTCAGTTCAGCGAAATTGCATGGCTTTGTCAACTTAAATTGAGAAAATCCATTTACCGCTGGTCCTGAACCTGAAAAGCAATGCACTCCAGTTCGGTACTGGGGAAGTCTTGCCTCGATACCACCTCACCAGCAAAATCTCATGCACAATTGCCACAGCGTGCACTGAGTTTTTTCCTGTTAAGACAGTTTCTGAATCCTGATCGTCCCCCTTTTATTTAACCACCTTCACGTGTCTGTGATGGGCTATCTCTAGAGCTTTTAAATGATGCCAGAGTGCAGCTTATTTAAGCTGATTAGAAGAGAACTGTAAGGTAATGGTGTTGTATGCCAGTTTGGCCCCTCCTGAGCTATGCAGTGATTGGGAGATAATCCATTACTGTAGCCTCTTTGTGCTGGAGTACTGAGGTAGCTGCAGATTTTATAGCAAACCTGTTCTTTAAGAGCTCGATTTGCTCTCCCATTGAAATTTAGAGACTTCTTAGTAATTTTGTTAGAAACAAAGCTGAAAACTTAAAATACTGTTCTTTGTTTCAAAGCTGAGGTGGGCGACAGCTATTAATAAAAGACAATACCAAGCTGAAGGAAGGCTTGAGGTAGTGAAGTACTGCTTCTAGCATGCAGAAATTCAGACAAACTTTATTTAAGTGCTAGTGATTTATGTCCTTATTTGCTGGTCACTGGGCTTACTGATGTGACCCTTCTTACAGCTGAAGTAATAAACCAGCAGAATAGTATTTCTTGGCTTCACGGTCACTATCATCCTACAGTTTGTAAATGCGTTGCTGCTCTAGATAAACCTCCTGCTTCCTCAGAAAACACACTGCCTATGAAGAAAAAATGCTTCCTAATTTTTAAGTCCTATAGTAGCATGAAGCTATATGTTTGATTTAATACAGGTTGGTGGCTCTGATCCTGTTGAAGAAATTATAGTCTTGCTGAGGGCCGTGGGAAGACTTAAAAAGGCTGGTTTCACCCCAAGAAGATGGGTTCCCAGGGCTCCTTTTCCTTAGTTGGAGGGGAGAAGCTCCCTGCGGATGATTGAGTGGCTACGTTAAATTCTTGTTTAAATTTCTTTGCTGTGTTGGGGGGAAGGGGCAGCTGTGCGACTCGCTTCCCGTGGCTGTCCAGCCTCTGCGAACACCCACACATATGGTGCAGTCCAAAAAGTAATTTAGAGATTTTGGGGGGATTAGACTAACGAACGCTTGGCTAAGGATTAGATGGAAATTTCTTTAGTGTAAGCCTAGCTTAAATATCAATTTAGTTCAAATAGCTTTCTGGGAAGGCTGAGACCCGGAGTATGCTGAAAAGCATTTCACTGCTTCGATATACTCCTTTTACTACTGTGAAATTGTACTTCAGGCTTTTATTTGCTTCACCCCAGTTAGGTTTGGGGGAGGAGGGTAGGCATAGCTGTAGTTAACTGGGTATCCACTGTTCTTTGCGTGGGTAAATGACTGGATTCAGTTATGCCCTTGAAACAATGAGCGAGGTAACAGTTACTTGTACAGGATATTTTGAACAAAAGTTCTGGCTATTTTAAAAGTTCAGTGCTAATCAGCTGCCTGCAAACGTAGCCTTCTGCGTCTATTCCTGTCGTGATTTGTTTTTCCAGATGAGCAGTCTGGTCTTCTGGTCCTTCCCTGCCCCAGGTTGCATTTATGTAAGATAATGCAGTCCTGGCTCCTTGCAAACTTGAGAAATCACTGATGGTAGGTGCATCATTTTAGGTCAGTCAAAGATGCTGAGCTACATTATCTTCCGTATTTTACATTCCCAAGGAGATGGCATGGTGCAGTTGTGGAGCTTTTCTATCCTATACTTACCCAGCAAGACCCTTTTTCCTTCTGGCCCCTGCGGGACAAAAAGAAACTCAGCCTTGAGATCTCTTAGTCCTTTGTAAAGTCAGCTTTGTAAAATCAGACCAACTTTTCCCCAGTTTGGGGAGTAATAAATTCTCAGCAGTCTTGAAACCATGGTTAGTGATTTATCATCTTAAAAGGCACAGATATCAGTGTAGCTAGGTGTTGCCGTGTATTGCATATTCTGGAGTTGCAGTGCATTGGGATAGTTCATTCGCTTCATCACTTCTAATTTGTAAGTGTTGAGAGCAGGAGGTTTGGGGGAGCAGAGACACGTGAAGATCAGCATTTAAGGAAATGGGCATTTAATTCTGTTTTCATTGAAACTGTCCGCTGTAACGAAGGCAGGATTGCATTGTGGGCAGCTGCATCGTTATCCACTGACTTTGAGCCTGTTTTATTTCACGGGGAGATGTTTAAGGCCACGTCTGGGGGGGTGGAGGTGGGTTTCTGAGTGCACCATTGCACCTTCCTCTTGAAAGTAAAAGGTCACAGTTCATTTCTGTTGTAAATAGCTGAGTCATATTTTTTTCCAAATGGACGAGTGATCTAGAGACTTGGCATCACACCCCAGTTAAATAGGTTTGTCAGCTGTTGGTGACTTTAACTTCCTGGAGCATTTTAGATAAGCTTTTTAAATCAGCATGAAAAAGCTGATAGCATTGCTTAGTCCATTTTTTTTTCCCCCCTCCCTCTTGGAAAAAAATTTACTATTCAACATTTAACATACACCACAAAACCCTTGAGCCCTTTACTTGTCCTGGTGAAAGTAGCTCTGTTATTCCAGGTGGGATCATTGCTGTGTCTGTGCGTGTATATGTATGTGCGTTCCCCCCCTTTTGCTCCAGGCTCCCTAAGCTCGGTCCTGTAGCTTCGCTGGCTCGGCTCCTTCTCCGTAGAATAGCTCGCAGACACACCGAGAGCCTCTGTAGTAATGCTTGCTTTTTATTTTTTTTCCCCCTCTCTTCCACTCTTGTTATATTTTTACTTTCTTTTTTTCTTTGTGATGTGACGTTTTCAGCTGATGTTTTGAAAGCAAACCCTTCTAATTTTGGAGTCCAGATCACAAGAGTGAGTTTCTTTCTACTAGTGTCTATAGCTGTACTCTTTCTTTTCGTGTGTCCTCCCCTCTGATTTTGGTAACGCTCAACCACATTTAGTAAATACGATTAGGTACGAGAATCCTCTGTCTTGTCAAATCTTCCCCTTTTTCACAAAGCAATGTTCTCTTTACATTGGGCCAACTTAATTCCTCTAATTTGAACTTTGGGTTAGTTTTCAGATCCACTGTTTCTGTGAGTACCGGTCTGACACTGCTCCATTAAAGGGGCAGAGTCAGCCAGCCAGAAGGTATATTTAGAATTCACCAATGGTGCAGGGGGCAGAGCCCCCCAGCCAGAAGGTATATTTAGAATTCACCAATGGTTTGTACCTCTTGTACGAGGATTTTTCTAATGTGACTACTGCGTTGAGTACCGTTAGTCTTTCAGGCCCTTCATGAAATACCTGAAAGACATGAAACTTTTTCAAAAGCTTGGGTACGTGATGCTTTCTGGAATTGGGCCTTTTGAAAGGGTTTCAAATTGTGCACCAAAAAAAGAAGAATTAATCCCTTGGGATGGTAGAGGTCTTTGCTGCTTTCTGTTACTTAAACTTCTGTATAGCACTCTAAAAAAATGCCTTGTGAATTTTCACATGTATTCAAAGGAAAAACAGCAACCTCTTTTCCTAGTGCTTTGAGACAAGGACTTGCAAAAATTTTCTGAAGTCTTGGATGCTTGATTTCTATTAGAATTGGATATCTAGATTTCCTCAGTGACGTTATGATGTTTGAAATTCCTTGGGTTTGGGTTTGCTTCCTCACATGGTAAGATTTCTGGGGAACTTAGTGTTTCTGCGCTCTAAAACATTAAACCCCCAAAACCCCTACTGCATTTTAGAGCATTTTGTTTTTTGAGAGACCGTCTCAGAACTACTGTCAGGAAAGCAAGTAACTGTTTGTGGTGTATGTTGTATTATTTATTTGCTTACCGGAATCATCTGCATGGGATTTTTGGCACCTTCTCCAATGTAATTTGTACATTGCTTTTGTAAGATACAATTCCTGGGTAACTCTCTTGCACCAGCTAATCCCTTTCTGTTCGTTGGCCCATGCTATTAAGACTTCTGTCATGCACTGTTTGTCAAGTACATTTGCACCCTGCAAGAGCAGCAAAGTAAACAGTCTTTTTTTTTTTTTTCCCCCTTCCAGAATTTGCTTGTTGCTTTGAAATCAGCTTTATTGTACATGCTAAAGAGAACCAGTAATGTTGATTGGAAATGCATATACACAGACTTGAAGTCATAGCCAAAAGTGATCAACAGTTGTCTTTTCATTTAGCTACTGGGAGGATGGCAATGTGCTCCATTTGGTTTGTTGAGCTAAGGTGCTGTTGCTCCATCCTAGCTCAATAAATGTTACCGGGGAGGGGCTTTACAGCGTACTTTCCAGTGCTACAGCAAAGAGACGCTTTTGGACACTTAACCACAAACCGATTTTATCTAATCTGTTCCTGCTTTCTTTTGCCTCAGAGGTTGAAAGATCTCAAGCAAAGGGAATTTGCTCGCAATGTCTCTTCAAGATCACGTAAAGATGAAAGGAAGCAGGAGAAAGCCCTCCGGCGTCTACATGAACTGGCTGAACAGAGGAGACAGCCTGAATGGTGAGTATGGGTGATCCCTGAGCACCCTTGGAGCTTGTGTGCGGGAGTCTTCCGTGGGACTGCGGCCCTTTGCTGCACTGGCATTCTTCCTCCTGTAATTCTGCCCAAGTTTTGAGGGCAAAGCTTCATGCTTGAGTTTGGCCTCGTGCTGTGGTTTTAGTAGGAGTGAACTCACTAAAATGGTAGTCCAGAGCATCCCCAAGTTGTTTTATCCAGCAATAGGTTTTCTTGCATTATTTTATACTACTAAAAAATTCAAATGGCTGTATAATGCTAATTTACTGTATATTTCTGGATACAAGAGTACTTGAAATGTGTAAAAGACTGTTTTAGATCAGGCGTGAAACCAACTGCAGAGGTATACAAATGGCAGTCAGCTGTTTTCTCTATTTTAACTTGTTCATACAGCGCTCCTGGAAGCGGACCCATGTTCAGAACCACCACGGTGGCTGTGGATGAGGAAGCTGGAGATGATGATGATTCTGCAGCCAACAGCAGTTCTTTCATCCAGACAACTTCTGGCCACGCCACAGAGATGACTATGGACAGAGGTTTCCTAAACACTGGACAAGTCGGTGGCACTGTTATGCCAAGCCAAATGCCCATCCAGACGGCGCAAGCAATCAGCTTTGGCATTAAAAGTACTTTGGGAACTCCACTGCAGAAGATAGGTGTGTCGTTTTCATTTGCCAAGAAGACCCCGGTAAAGCTTGAGACCATAGCTTCTGTTTTCAAGGACCATGTGGAAGAATCGAGTTCTGCAGATGGAGCAAAAGGTGATGAGAGAGGATCCTCAGATGCAGGGAGCCTGCAGAAATCTGGCGAGGGCGAAAGCACAAATAATTCTGACAGCAAGGCGGAGGAAGATGACCAACATGACAAAGATAATGGGTCTCTAGCCACTACGTTATCTAAACTAAAAAAGATGAGACGAGAAGATGGACCAATGGCCGTTGAACCAGAATACTACCACTATATTCCCCCAGCCCATTGTAAAGTAAAGCCTAATTTTCAATTCCTGCTTTTCATGAAGTCTACCGAACAAATGGAAGCTGAAAATGTGAACAAAAAAACCACGCATGAAGTTAAAAAGGGTAGTTCTCCAAAACCCAAACCCGGCAAGCACACAGAGAAGGCTGCTGAGAGCACGGGGCAGCAGAAGGAGCAGAGCACTACTGAAACTGTAGCTCAGCAGAGCAAAACAGAACTAAAAGAAGTCTCAGAAAATGCGAGTATGCAGGAGAACAAGCATTTTACAGAGAGCAATCTCCCTGAGCCAAACACTACTAAAGAAGTCGCTCAGCCTGTCCCAGGCTGTAAAGATGTCACTGAAGGACCAAAGCATCCAACAGGACCCTTTTTTCCCGTTCTGAGTAAAGATGAGAGCACAACTCTCCAGTGGCCTTCAGAGCTTCTCATATTTACCAAAGCAGAACCATCTGTTTCATACAGTTGTAACCCCCTGTATTTTGATTTCAAGCTCTCTCGTAACAAAGATGCTAAAGGTAAAGCGGCAGAGAAATCTAAGGATCCAGGGGGTCTTTGTAAAGAAAACGTTCCGAGCACAGAATCCAGTGAGCTAAGCGAACACAAGGAGGCAGAAAGCGTAGCTAACAGTTCTGCTCTAAAAATGGAAAACAAATCTCTGTCCACCTGTGGCTCCCAGAACAAGCAGGAGTCCAGTTTGATAAGCATTAGTAAGGGAGAGGGAGAAGACAGTAGTAAAAGCATAACCGGTAAGAGTAAATCTGGGAGATCCCATAAACACAAAAAGAAAAAGAAGCACAAAAAGTCCAGCAAACACAAACGTAAACACAAGGAGGAAGCTGACGAGAAGGGCCGAAAAACTGACCTGGGGGAAGAGAAACCCAAGAAACGGAAAAGACACAGACACAAAAAAGGCAAATCCTTTCTTTCTACTCAGTCGGAACGAGTGCTGAAAACCGAATTGTCTGAAGATTGTAGCCATTTCCAGAAGAAAAAGCGGTTCTCTCAGGAGTCCCAGAGGAAGTCTCTGTCTGCTGAAGAGGGAAGCAGCGGTAAAAAGGAGGATGGTGGTAACTCCTGCCAAGAGCACAGCAGCAAAAAACACAAGGCTGACCTGCAGCAGTTATCTGCTTTG